GTCCTCATTACATCTGACAGTTAATGACTTCTGTTGATTCATCCATTATTATAAATTATACAAATTATTAAACTCGCAAACAGCTGAAATCATTTCAAACTGACAAAAGTCAAAAAATGAAGAAAAACTAAAAATCAACTAAAAACTGAAGGAAACAGAATAGTASTTAGAAAAGTAGGAGCAGCAGTGTGACTAAAAGGTTAAAACAGCAGCTTGAAGGAGCTAAATAGTAGCTAAAAGTTAAAAGAAACAGTAAAGATACTAAAAACAAAACTGCAGCTAAAAGCTAAACTCGGCAAAACTATATGGCTAAAATAAACCAAACCATAGATTTGTGCTAAAATGGTAGCTAAATGCTAAAGGAAACAAAAGGAACAGAATGATGATTAAACACTAAACAAAACATTAGCAAACAAATCCTTCGATAAAATGTTAAATGAGCAAAACTAAAGATAAAATTTTAAATTAGCCAATCCATGGATGAAAGCTAAAATGGTAAATAAAAGAAACAGAAATGTGACTACAAACTAAAACAAACCAAAAAAATTGCAAAACAAAAACTTTGGTTAAAGGTCATCGAAGCTAAAGTGCTAAAAGCTAAAGTCATCAAAACTATACGCAAAAGTGGTAGCTAAATGCTACAGGAAACAGAACAGTAGATATAGGAACAGAATTGTGACTAAAAACACAAACAAAACAAAATATTAAGAAAAAGTGCAGTCAGCAATGCTAGAGAAGCTAAACTGGTGCCTAAAGCTAAAGGAAACATACCAGCAGCTAAAGTCTAAAAGTAGCTAAAGTGTAGCTCTAAGGAGGAAGACTAAAATATAGCTAATGTATGCTGAAGCAAAAGAATAACTATTTTTCTAAATCTAAACGTTCGTTGAATTTATGGTGATTTTAGTTAAATTGAGTCTAAAAGTTTCACAAATTAAACTTTTCAACAGATCCCTGATTGTGCTGAAGGTTTAATAACTGAAAAAAAAGAAAGAAAATCCAACAAAAAGAGCCGAAGTCAGCATTAAACAGTTTGATTAACCAGATTACTGAACGTTCCCCTCCACGTTTAATCAAGTCAACAAAGGTTCCTCTTCTCCCACGAGAAGAAACACTTTATTGCCACACACACACACACACACACACACACACACACACACACACACACACACA